TCTCTTCATCCTTATAGCCTTGATTCAGATAGTTATTTGAATCATACCCATGCATTTCCCAAATACAATGTTATCCTTTTAACATGGATGTACTGTATATGCATACATGCAGACACAGACCTGCACCAGCAGATGGAAGCCATAATATAAACTTCCCTCAGATTCTAATGCAGATGTTCTAAACACTTCTAAAAGGAGTTGGGACCAAATCACAACTTTCTCTGGAAAGGAACACCCGTTAGATTAAGAGGAGACTGCAAAGTAACAGTTCCTGGATCAGGATTTAGGACAAGTATACATACACAAAATGCCATTAAAAGGTCACCGGAAAAAAAATTCTGAAAGTAAATAATCCTAGTGAAAGTAAATAATGTTGCAGAGTATTTTAAAGCACACCGAAAACTTCCCAGTTGTACAATGGAAATAACTTTGGCTAAATGAGTAATTTCAAACTAAACCGAGAAATATTTCAAAGTACCTTCTCTTTTTTTCCTCCTGACATAGGGAACTCTTGATCCTGGCCATATCTGTTGGTGACTTCGCTCCACTGAACAGAGTGATTTACAACGTGATTCTATGCATGTTTACTCAGAAGGAAGTGCCTTTGGGTTCAGTAGAATTTATTCCCAGGCAAGCAGGAAGAGGACTGCAGCCTCATTTGCAGCTGTAATCTCAAGTAAGTTTACTTAGAAGCATCTGGTCCTGGAATCAGACTTAATTTTAAGTAACTATGCCTAGAACTGAAATGTGAAGTGTGGTTCCATGCAGAACAGCTTGGAATTCTGAAGGCTGAAACTGAACCCTGCAAGGGAGAGTGCATAAAGATGGAGACCTTTGCATATTATTTTGGAAATATGACCTCCTAAAATCAGAGAGACGGGATCCTTAACTAACAATCCCACCCACTCTTTTTCGGCTTGTTCCTTGAAGCATAATTTGAGCATTTTAGATTGAAGACACCATCTTGTCTTTTTTTAAAAAAAACAAAACAAAACAAAAACCATATTTTGACAAGTTTTTTTTTCTAAACACCAGACTTTGACAAGCATCCACCCTCCCTATCCTGGGCAAAAGTCTAGATGCAGAATACCAGTCTTTTTACATTTTGTGTGTGTCTGTGCATCGGAAACTGGGTATGCAAATGATGATACCAAAGCCGTTTGTATAAATAGTTGTTTATTCAGAGGCAGCAAAACATTGGCAAAATCTAGTAAACAGAGATTGTTGGACAATGCAGTTGGACCCAATACGGATGGAAAGAAAATGACTTCAACTTCCATTTGCTGGAGGTACCATCCCAGCTTAACTCACAGCCAGAAGAGTCTCCTTTGCTGTCTCTCCCTCCCAGAAACAGTGAAAAAGGATGGTAGGAAGTAAACAGTGGGCACCCACGTGCATTTTCATTCACATTTTTGACCAAATGTTTACAATGTGGAGCCATCAAATAGAAAACCTTTGAAACTCGGCCACTTTATCATTTCCTTTCAAGGGTGCGCTAACATACATACCACCAAGATTTAAGACTTTAAAAAAAAAAAAAAAGCTCAAAGAGGATTCCCCTGCACTCAAACACACTCTCTCAAGTCAACTTTAGTTTGAACTAAACATTTGTCAAGAAGACATTAACATTACAAAGGACTTGGGCCAGTTCTGTTTTCTTCACACCTTCTGCATCCTCTTCAATTCATGGGTTTGGGGAGGGATGGGCTATACAGTAGAGTAAAATTTGTCCCAACAGCAGCAGTTCCCTTCAGAACCTGTTTACTGGGAAATAGGTGTCACTGTGTGTGGGGAAGATGGGGGCAGCAGCGGGGGGGGGGGGGAGGAATATAGCTTTCCTAGGGTGTTTAATTTTACAGCCTTCCTCACCCTTCATCCTGTTATGCAAAGCAGACTTAAGGGTTTGCGCTAACGGGCCTTTGCTGCGCCCTAATCCTTGGAGTTGACTTCTGAACAAATATGATAGGATTAGGCTTTGGATCTGTGGTCCTAAACAAGATTAAGTTAAAATCTATCTTCACCAAAGTGGGGGGGACTACAACTCCCGGGTTAAGCTATTTGGAGGAGAAACGGTTTTGTGCCCCAAAACCCCCAAAGAAATCTCCCTTGTTCTCGCCTTTCCCAGATTTGCTCCCATGCATTCATACTGAGACCTCTTACTGAGGGAATGCCCCATTAGAATAGAGACTCCAGAAGAAGCAAGATTGAAAAAAAGACTTAGGCTGCTGAAGGCAGTGGGGACTTGCCTGCTAGTAAGTAAGCAAAGGCTTAGGCTGCCAAGGAGCTGAGGCTGCCAATTTCCTGCTCAGGCCAGAACAGGGCTGCAGTAGTGGTTCAAACCAGGCCTAATGTGGACTCTCCCTTCCTCCAGATTCAAACAATTGTGGGATGAGATTTTTGAAAAGGATCCAGAGACAATCCACCCCAGTTAGCAGTTAGGCAGGGTGCTTTCAAAAAAAAGAAGAAAGAAAGAAAGAAAGAAAGAAAGAAAGAAAGAAAGAAAGAAAGAAAGAAAGAAAGAAAGAAAGAAAGAACCTCCGAATTTAGACTTCAAGTGGGTTTGAAGCAGTCTTGTGCTTTGCTAGGCAGCCGAAAAAGGAAGGGGGACTCCTCCAGGTCGAAGAGGTTAAGGGTTTAGAGGTCATTCCTCCAGGCTGCAATACAGGCTAATCGCACAGAAAATTTGTCCTCTGGATGAACCTGTTTCTACAGTTGAGCCGAACTTCAGTTAAAAACAAAAAGGAAGAAAGAAAAAGGGAGCGAGAGAGAGAGAGCAAAGAAACACCTTTTGAGCCTCTCAACGTGGAGGCGTCCTCTTCCCCCTGAATGGACGGGAGGGGGGTGCTTTTTGTCATAGAGACAATGACACAAATGATGCCCAAATATCCATCTTTAATATCATGACGGGCAGATATTCAACAGAAAAACCGGAACGAGCCAGAGCTAGGGGCTGAGCCTGGGACTAAGAGGAGGTTCAGCTCAAAGGGGACAAAGAAAGGGGGTCTGGCACCGAAAGAGAGAGAGAAAGGGAGAGCCCGCTAGGAGATTAATCCTAAAATTTTCCTATCCGCAAACGGTATAATTTAACTACCAGGTTTATTCCCTTAAGATCCACTAACATTAAGTGTGGATCTCTGAGATGTCAATTATTTAGGGGGGGGGGAATGTCCTTTCCTTTCCTTTTCCCTAATATTATTTTTATTGTTTTCCTTTAAATCAAGGGGTGCGCTTAGAAATCAGCCTGCCTGGGGGAAAAAAAGAGAAAAGAAACGAGATGCCTGTGTGTTAGCGTGAGGTTCCTGAATTCAAAACTTTCCCATCCATAGAATTTGAGATTGCGTATTCCATTAAACCTAGCAAATTTACCTTGGAAATAAATAAACCTGCTTAAGCACAAATTGTAAAGGCGAAGGGACTGTGAATTTAATACTTTGAACCCAGAACCTTTCTCCCTGCTTTTCCAACTGAAAACAGGCAGAGGGGAAACATTTGCTTTGTTCCTGTCACAAGATTAGGTTGGAAAGAATAAATGATTTTAAGAGGGGAGGGAGGGAATCTTCCTTTATATCATCATGGTGTGAGCTTAAATTCTTTTGGCAAAACCTGATTTTTTTTTTCAAAGAAGAAAAGAAGAAACAAAGAATAAAAAAAAAAATCTTGCTCGTCAGTGCAAAAGACATGAATTTCTGCCAAAGTTTATCCTCATTTTTGTTCTTCTCTCAGTAAGAGCTGCCCTTATGTTGAAAATCTGTTTAAAATATATCCACCTTCTTGTATATACATCTGAGCCAAAAAAAAAGCACTGATCTTTCCATCCAAACCATAGAATCTACCCTTTCTCTATTTTGTTCTTTTGTTTTTAATGCCAACACAATAAATTAAATCAAAAGAGGCTAGTAAAAAATAGTAATCTAGGATGAACATAAAATAAATTTGAGGGTCACAGATCACGTGGAATATTTATTACACTGGTGGGGGAGAGGCTTGGCTTTTGTGGTTGATTTAATCCACTTTCCCCCCCTCCTCCTTTCCTCCTCCTCCTCCTCCTCCTCCTCTTCCTCTCTTGGATTAAAGTACAAGCCGTGAACAAAAGGGAGCACTTAGTCCATTTCAAATTTTAAAAAATCCCAGGTTCTTTTTTATCTCATCTGAAAAACTGAAAAAAGATTTCCTATGTACAGAAAAGCCTGAAAGGAAAGCAGCAAAGGAAATCAGTTTTCAAAAACAAAATCCAAGCAGCTTGAGAGGGAGAGTAAGATTTGTTTTTACCTCTATTTATATTTTTGGTTTGATTTTTTTTTCTTTTTTCTAACTAACAAATAAATACATAGGCTAACACAATATCACCAACACATGAAAATAACCCGTTTCACTTCATTGTTTAAAGATATTCCTGAAAAGGTAGAGGAATTGGGTAAGCTTTTAATTTAAGGTTGTTTATTGAAAGTATTCAAAGAAATGAAAAGATTGCCTGTTTTCAAGACAGTTTTGGATCTGCCCTGCTCCACAACCTGGAATAATGAAAAAAACAGGCAAAAACAGCTAATCTCAAATACCCAAACCCTTCCGGGTAGATTATAAAGGCAATCCCAAATAGGTTGTCTGCAGTAGCGTCCGGCTGTCTGCTGCCAGGGGAATTTTATTTAAAAATATTAATTTGATTTATTTATGTTTTCCATATATATATAGACAGATAAGATATACAGTATTTCACTTTCTCACCACCTGGAAGCAGAATTTGTTTGTTTGAATGTTTAGGTTGACTTCCGTCACTCCTGTGGTCACTCCTGTGGTCCCCGTAACATTTGTCTCCACTGTCTTAGAAAGCAGGAGGCGACCCATTGGAAAGTTGTAAAGTGTTACACCTTGCTTTCCCTTTCACCAGGATGAGTATCAGTGTCGTTGTGTGCTTGTGAGCGCCTGTATTTGACTGCCTACATCCTGGGCAGCCTAATTCCGAAGCCAACTTTGCTGGGGAAAAAGGCTTGTTTCCAAGTTTTCTATAAAGTGGTCAAATCCGTTTGGTGTTCCTTGGAAACAGTTTGTAAGTGATGGCTGGAGGCGGAGGAGGAACTGGATGTGCGGCCTTTGGTGTTGGGCAATTTGTGGTCTTTTTTCCACTTCATCCTTCGGTTCTGAAACCAGATCTTAATTTGCCGCTCAGAGAGGCACAGCGTATGGGCGATTTCAATCCGGCGCCGCCTGGTCAAGTACCGGTTAAAGTGAAATTCCTTTTCCAGTTCAAGGACTTGCTGCCTGGTGTAAGCTGTGCGAGAGCGCTTTGGTTCTCCTCCTGTGTAGTTTGGATTTACTGAGAGGAGAGAGAAAAAAAATATCAAAGGCAGTTGGTTAACATCCTTGCTGCCCCAAATAATATTTGTAAGTCAATTTTGATGTATTATTATTATTTTTTTCATTAGACTCTACTGGTTCTTTAGGAGCCACTGCAAACTCTTCTATAATGGCTATTACTAGCAGTGGGCTTTTTTCCCCCCCCATTCATTCCTTTCCTCTCTCAGTCACAGAGTAGACTTCAGAAATCCTGTAGCACCTTTTGTGAAAGAGAATCTCCTTCCCTCTCAGGCACCATGGCCAAAGAGGCCTATTTCATCCACCCCCAAAACCTTTATGGCAAGAATAGTGGACAACCTCGATTTCCACCTAACTTTCTCCTGGTGGAATCTGGAAAGGCCTCTTTGGAGGAGGGAGAGAGAGAGGGAGGGAGAGGGAGACACGTGGAGGAGGAGATGGAGAAAAGAAAGGGAGGCTTACCAGAGTTCACGTGGACTTTCTTCATCCAGGGATACACCACGGCTGGCTGCTTGGCTGCTGCTGCTGCTGCTGCTGCTGCTGCGGGTGACCCGTTCGGGCTTTTGAGATTTGGGTGCTGGCTGCAAGTCCTGGGGGCAGTCACTGGGGGCGGGGGGCAGGGCTCCCCTTGCCCGGGGATGGGCCCCGTCAGGCCGGGTTGCTCCTGTCCGTGACCCCGCGCTTGCACCGCCGAGCCTTGGGCATTGCTGCAGCTGTAGGACGGCTGCCCGCTGTAGTTTGGCCGCGCATAGAGTCCCTGGTGCTGGAAATCGGAGTCTTGCGAGGCGCCGTAGTAATCCGAGCCTTGCTCGGCTAGGTAGTTGTTCTGCAAATATTCCTCGCAAGGGGGGAATTTGGGGTCCACATACTTCGAGTTCACCAGATACGAACTCATGGCCATTAATTTCGGAAGAGAGAAAAATTACTAATTTTTCTGGCGCTGTCTTTTTTTTCCCCCTCCTGCCAGAGAGCCCTCCTACTTGCTGTCAACTGAATAAAGTTGGGCTGTCCACGTGACCCGGCTGAGCCAATCGGCAGGCGCGGGGCTTGATCACCGGATTTGGTGTGTACACCGCAATTTCCTCAAATTTCACTAAATAATGGACGGGTAATCGAGGGGACCCGCGTGTTACCCGAGTCGTGTGCGCTGCTTCCCTCCCTCCCTCCCTCCCTCCCGCCCCCGCACATGTTTTGCAAAGGAGATGTGAATCCGTAAAACCCGATGCATCCATTGATGGCCAACCCCAGCAGCGGGGCAACCTCTATCTGCCCCCCCCCACACACACACTTTCTCCCCTCTCCGCCCGCCGGCTGCCCCCGGTGAAGGGTGCCTTTTGTCTCCCCTGCCTTTTCTAACTTTTGGATGCCCTCCCCTACCTCGCAAGGTAAGGCACCGCGAGAAAGGTCCGTTAGTTGCAGGGCAGCCGATGGAAACAAGGAAGGCGAGCCGAGCACTGAACATCGGGGAAAGGGGCAGGAGAATCAGGAGCCAGCATCAAACGCCCGAGCAACAACCGCCTACAATGGACCTGGTTCGCCTTTGTGGCCGGGGGTCAATCAAAAGTTACCCTAGTCTAGATGGGCGGCATACAATTAGGCAATGAGTAACTCGCTTCGGAGTCCTTGTCCCCAGCGTAAAAATCGGTTTGGGTCAAAACGCAACACACAAATCGGCTGGCACAGGAAACTATTCTGAAAGTTTGGAAGTTCAGTTCTCTCTCTCTCTCTCTCTCTCTCTCTCTCTCTCTCTCTCTCTCTCTCTCTGTAAAAACAGTCACAAAAGAGAAACAAAAGCAAACCTACACCTTAAGAAAACCTCTATCTAATAATCAGTTCCTTAGCAGACGACATTTCTGTTACAAAGGTATGATTTTTTTTCCAGAGACATCCGATATTAGTTTGAAAAGAAGGTAGGTAAATTGAAGAGAAAAAAAAAAAACCCTCCGCCAATATCAACATTTTATTCACCTTTTTTGCAAATGGCCGCTGATATGATATCGAAAGCGAAGGTTTTTAACCAGCCGGCAAGTCTTTTTCCAGGTTCTTTGTGCTGTTGGTGTGAGCATGTTTAAGATGGGATGTGCTACCAAAGGACAATTAAAATGCGATGAAGACCGCGGCTCCTGTTCTAGCGTGAGGCAGGCAGGTCTTCTCCCTTTACATCTCCTAACCATGAGCAGAAAAGTGAAGTTTTTGCATCGACCATATATTCCCCTAGAATCGAATCTGTGACTACGTAAATACCACACAAATTCGGTTCTACAGGGTATATATAGACAACGTAACAACATTCTGTTCTTTTCATAAAGGCAGCCACACTGTCCTGTTTGCAGCCCTCTGACTTTCATCCAAGGAATACACACTGGGTTCTGTTGGGGGAAAGACCTGGCGTCATGGGTATGAAGGGAAAGATGTATATAATTTCATAGAAAAACGAATGAACAAAAAAACCCCACAACTGGTGTGACAAGGAACAGCGAGCAGGACATCCAGATTTCTGGATTACAGAGCTGAGCCACTCTAACAGAACCAAGACTCTAGATAGCGTCACATCTGAATCGGGGAAAAGATTTGACAAGTAAATTTCTCTTTGTAAAAAAAAAAAAAAGAGAGAGGAAGGTATTCAAAATAATAAATAAATCATCTTTCATCATCAAAGAAAAGGTGTTGTACAAAGGGAGAATCACTAACAAGAAAAACAGGTATTTAGCTTTGTTTTTAATAATTCGGGGGAGTGTGTATTTTTAAAGATTCCATTAGTCTCTTAAAAGCAGAAATCATCTGTTTAAAATAGATATATACTTATATGGGCAACAAAAGCCCTGTCTTCTAGCTTTCAGACAGTTGCATTTATGCCAAGGGCAGGGCCGGAGGTCACCCTAAACCATTTACAAACATATCCCAGCATTTCATTATTTCTAGTTTGTCGACAGCAGCACGCTTGAGTCCAAAAGTTCATGCATTGTGGCTGACCCATTTCTAAGTGCTGTCTTGCAGTCAATCTCCCTTTAGTCCTCTCTCTGGTTTGGCTATTCAAAATAATATAAAATAAAACAAATATCAGGATATGTTTGTGTATCTGTGATCAGTAAGCTTAAAGGACTGCTCTGTTTTCTTGTCTTGTGTTGAATTGTGAGGCAGAGCATTTTTTGTATCCAAAGATGATTTTTCTCCCTGCGGAAACAGAATTGAACTTAACAAATTTCTGAGTCCGTATCTATTTCCAGAGTTGGCTGAAAATGCATTTTAGAGGAAAATCAGTGGCTCCTCCTACCCCTAACCCTTTTTGCCTATTTAGTTAAAAATACTGAAATGTACTCAAGTAGCCAATTCTTTGAACGTTATATGTGTGTGTGGTTTTGGGGCACAAGAGAGGCCACACCTTGGAAAGATCAGGTAGAAATCACCTAAAGAAGCAAAAAAAAGATATTGCTCCAATATTTTGTGCAATAGCACAGATTTTCATATTTGTTAGACGCTGTGACCTGCGTTTCACCTTATTGCACGACTTGCTCAGACAGGTCAAAGCCAAAGAGTTATTGATGGACAAAAGCGTTAAATATTCACCTCCTCTGCTTAACTGCCCCTACAAATTCTTTTGATCCACCAGTCCTTTTTGTATGCTGGTTCATAATCAGTATGCTAACACTAAGTTTAAGAAAGACTTTTTTAAAAAAAAAAAAAAAGAAAGGGAAAGACAGCCAGAATGAAAAGGAGGTTTAATTTTTTTAAAAAGAGTTATAGGGCTAGAAAACTGATCCCAAAACAAGGGCAAAGCATACAGAGGTTTTATCTAGAGAAGAAAATGCAATCAATGGTTTAGAGCTCTCAAAGGAATCCACAAAGGTAGAGATACACAATACATCCGTTTGAATTTTAAAAGCAATAAGGTAAGTTTTTAAAAATCAAGAATGTGTGTGAAAGGGGGAGTCATAGCCAGCCACTTTAAAGAATTATGTTTAAAAGCTGATTATTATAATGAGCTAATGTGTTTCTTTTTCCAAACAAAAAGCAATGCATTGTAATTCTCAGTAGTTCAATTAACAGATTAACTCATTATGCCTCAAACCTCTGCAACATTTAAGCAACCTCAACTTTGGTTTCCTTTCCATTCACTTTCCCCCCCACACCTTTCCCTTTATTTTGGCCTCACTTTTTTCTCTTCCCCTGTCTCTCTCTCCTTTATTTCTTAAAACAGATCCATCTTTTTCTCCTGTTCTTTGTTCCTCCACGCTGAATGACAATTAACCAATTTTCCCTAAATTCATCCACCAATAATATCACCTTTCCTCTTATAGTTCATCATCCTATTGCAAAAACACTTCATTTAATCGGGTTAGCATTTAATTTCAATATTTTAGACTGCATTACATCATCATGCTTCCGATTCCAAGCATAGCGGCTAGGCATAGAGGTTTTCATTGAAACCAATGGGCCCTATTTCCAGATATATGTCTTCAAGCTAAAGAAATATTCCCAGGTACCTTTAGAGCCGGTTATTTCCTTAGACAACCCCTTAGACAACCCCAAAGGCTGAGTGTACAGTGTATTTTGAAGCCAACAAACATCCCAGCCCATTTCTAACAAGGTTTGTAAAGGGAGACACCATATAGCTTGAGCCAGTTAAAATGCTAATCCTGATCATTAGCTGGAAAATATTGATGAGCGGCAGATTATGACACCTTACACCTGTGAAGCCTTGAAAATTACCTCCCTAGAAACTGAGATCACCATTTGGAGCGATCTATCATCACAGAGATGGAGAAGGATGGAAGAAAGCAAACTGATCACACACACCCCACCCCAAACTCTCAAGTACAACTAACTTTAGAGATACATTTCATGAGCACAGCAAAGGTGAATTCATTTCTTTGTATCAGCAAAATGTGCAAAGCAATATTTGGAAAACCAACAGGTTTAGCAAAAAGGAAGAGTTCACTTACTGGAGCTGTCTTTCCATTGTCCCGAACCTGTTGCAATTAAAAAAAAGAGAGAGAAAGAGGGTGAAGAAATCCTCTTGAATTGTGCTGTATTTCATCTGCTTCTGTTATTGACAATTTAGAAAATTTAGTAGCTTACAACTCTCCAGAAGTATTCTTGAACAATGTTGAGATCACAGGGGCAAGAAATTAGCACACCTTGTGCTTTGTCCTGATTTTTCAAAAGGCGTAAGTAAAGAGGACAGCCAAGTGAGATTTTTAAAAATAAAACACATCTGTAAAATTCAGTGAGAGTCATAGCAGTCCTGCTTTCTTTCCAAGGAGCACAGGACAATTTTTCCTTAAAACCATTACAATTGTAGAGAATTCCTGAAGACCCATAATCATCTATTATCTTTCAATCCTCGCTGGAAAGAATGTTATTCACATAAGTTAGAGCAAGATGCTTATTTAAACGCATCTTGTTAAGGATCTTGTCTTTCATCAATTCTATGTTCTCTCCCACTCATTATTTAGAGACAATACATCAAAAAATGAACAAATTATTTCTTTTCTTTTCTTTTTTTTAAAAATCCCTTTATAACTTTTCATCCTTTTGTTTGCATTATTCCTGTAGAGGGTTATAAAAACGCAGAGACACATTTAAGTGGGTAGCAACAATTGCGCAGCAGTAACTTTTTATCTCAAGGGATCCCGTCTCTCTTCCCACTCCTCCGGTTTACTTCCAGAATAACAGGCCAGCTTCTTGAATTGATGAAAATAAAAGAGTTGGTAATTATCCACGAGCTTTGTCCAACGAAAGCGACAACAATAATAGCAAACGGAGCAATAAAAAAACAACAACCGCGTGACTGTGAGCTATCAATTGAGCTGTATCTAGTTTTTAACGGGAACAAATCTGATCCCGTCACTTCTTCGTGATTCTTGTATTCTACCATTTCAGCGAATAGACCTGCCCGCA